ATCACACGAGTTTTGTAGTCATGTTTAAATGCACGTGTGATGTACATCGTTTTATCTACAAAGCGAAAAATTAGAATATTTTTCAAATTATTTTCGTTTATTAATAGTTGTCTACCTTCATTTTACCTTTACAGGTTTACCTTTGACATTTGTCAAATCACCAAAAATAGTTGTGTTATAGACTCATAACCTCGTCCATAACACCACTAGTTATGTTATGAATTCATAACCTAGTCTATAACACCACTAGTTGTGTTATGAGTCTCATGACGCAACTCAAATACTAGAAAAATGGTTATGTAAAAACGTCATAACCAAACGCTTGTAGATAAACATTTTTGTCCAACGGTGGGTTTTCTTTCTAATTAATGTTAATACATATTTGTCATATTTACGTTTAAAAATAAACAAAAACAGAAACATAACCGAAATTGCACAATTTGACAAGTGGAACAAATCAAAGTCATTCCACACAGGTATCGCGCGTCATTATATGTGTCTCTTTCTTTATTGCAAATATCTTAATAAACTATCCTTCTTATTCATTGCATGAGAAAGGTCCATTGAAAATACCAAATAATTCGAAATTTATGACGCGATCAAAAACGTGTTTCTATGGGTCGTGATGTCACAAGGCAGTAATAATCGGATCGCGCCGCTGCCACGCCATGTGCTGCTGGTGTCGCTAATTGTCAAATCTATCGTAAACGGCATACATAACAACATAACCATAATCTAAATCTACCTGCTCGAATTTCGAAGTGCTCGTCACTGTCAACGGAATTTCGTTGCCGAGTGACGTCACAGTAATCGATCGTTTCAAATGGCGATGTTTCGAGCGTAACTTCAAATATTTATAAAAAATTAACGGCTGATTTTCAATGCTTGATATTTGGCATGACCATGTGTTTGGTGTAGTAGAACACATTTTTGAAATAAAAAAAAAAGGTGCAAGATCCCTATTGTGTATGTATTTGATTGTATTTGTGATTTCTTCTGTTGTAAGTATGAAATCTGGTTGTTCTGGCATATGTTTGTGTCTTTCTTCTTCGGTTTTAATCCAGGTGTTGTTGTTGTTGTGCTGTTTTGATTCTGACCACATGCTATTCCAGTAATTGGTTAGTTCTTGTTTGTCTGGTGGTTCTATTATTCTTGCTTCTTGGCTGGACATGGTTCCTCGGTAGATTTGCTTCCCGTTTCTTAGGAAGAGGTTGTTAGTGTCTTTCCTTTGGTTTGACTCTTTGTATCTCCGGAGTCTTGACGCATATACAGATAAATTTTGCTTATCAAGGATTTCTGGCATTGTTTGGGTGCGGTATTTGGACTTTATTTTCATTACTCTCTGTGTAACATGTTTTGAGGTATTCCCGTTTGTGAACTGGGTGAGGTGCCCTAGATCTTTCCTGATTTTTCTAATTTTATTTTCCAGTCTTATTTGCCATTTAAAAAAAGGTTTTGTTTTGTTGGGATTTAGTTGTTGTTGTGGCAATTTTTGATTATTCTGTGCGATTGAGGTGATAGCTGCTGAGTAGATTATTGTATGGATATCTTCGATTGTATTTGCGTTTGTTACGTACTGTGGTATTACATCTTTGTTGATTGTATCAAGAATTTGTTGAGTGTTCTGCTTGAAGACTATCCGAGGAATTGGTTTTCTCATTGTAGGGTCAGAGCCTGACCATTGACTAAGGCGTATCTCCATTCCGGTTTTAAGTTTTTGTAGAAGAGGTGATTCGGGAATATGTTGTGTGGGTGTAGTTAGGCTTGTAAAGTGGTTGACTGGTGACTCTGTGCTGTTTTGTTGCTGGGTTTTTCCTTCTTGTGTAGGGGGTTGAGAGTCTCTGAGTTCAGCTTCTCATTGGAAAGTGGTTGAATTGGTGCTTCATTTTTCCTGTTGACATTGTTCAGTATGCTCGGTGTGTTCAGGATATACGTTAGTTAATTCTATGTGATACCTAGTCTGTGTTCAGTTCGCGGCTACTGAATCCTTGATATTTTGTAGTTCAGTTGAAGTGAGGCGATTATTCTTGGTGATGATTAATCTTTTTTGGTCTATCACTCTCTGTTCCGTGACAAGTTGTTGAAGATATGGAAATTCAGCTAGAAAAAGTCTGTGTAATTCATGCCTATAGCACAGCTTATAGCCCGATTTTATTGTTTCGAGTTTTGTAGCAGTGTAGTAACAATGCATTACTGTTTAATTAATTTCATCTGTCCATTGTAAGCCCTGTCTTTGTTTGCCGGCCTTGGTGGTTGTAGGTAGTGCCTGAAAAACATCCTTAGTCGGGTTTGGATCCCTACATGATATTGGAGTGAGAAGCTCAAAGTGTCCCGATGCTGGGTTGCCTGTCAGAAGTAAGTACATGTTCTTATCGTGCTTTGTTTTACTTATTGCTGTTGGTTCGCTTTTGACTGTAATTATTCTGTTTACTGTTGCTCTAGGTCTGGTGTGTATAATAATATGGAAGTTTATGCTTAGAGTGTCGGAGAGAGCAAGTATTTCAAGGCTAATGCCATAGACATTTGTTTTCTTCATGTTCTCATAGTAAATTTCGATATCTCATCCTATCATTTTTAATCAGAGCATAGTCTTGGAGTACGGGCCAGTTTCCTTTTATATATCCCAGTGCGATTTCTCTTAGCTGTTCATGACATTCTTGGTGACCGTATAAGTACATGCTCACAGCTCTAAATAGGCAGCTCCCATCTCCAACAATATCAGATAGAGTGAAGGTCTTAGGAGTATCCAAAGATGTAGCAGGGTTGTCGTCTTTTTGACCCGACCATACCGACGTTCGTCCGAGGGTTTATTTTGAAAAAAAATTGATGAAAGACTTGACCGACAAGGTAGAAATGGAACAGAGTCCCAATTCTTGGAAAATATCGCATGCGAAATTTGATATGATTTCGGATGCTTCCCATTTGATTTACATTGCTGTCAGTCGAATTCGAATCATATTTCGAATGCGATATTTTTCGAGAATTGGGCCACTGGTCTTGGTAGGTCAGTTGGTTGAAGCGTTGCACTGGAGGTTCTGGGTTCAAATCCCAGTTGAGGCAAGAAAATTTTTCATCAATTTCAATTAATACGTCTGCATGCCACTGAAATAAACACACTATAAATTATATAACAGATGATAAAACTTCTGAAAATTATTATTATTATTATTAATTGTAGAAGGTTTGCGCCCTTAACAGTTGTATGAATAGGAAAAGTTGTGGGTTTAGGGCCAAAAAAATTCAAAGTCCCTTTTAAATTTTAAAAAATGCCGACGTTCCGACTTTATTTAAAGTCTTTTTCAAGGCTATTTTTATTTCTTTTTTGGAAAAGGGACTCTGGTCGAAATGAGTGAAAGCACCAAGCACATAATAAAAACTTTTCGATTTAAACATGAAAACTTGTTTTTTGGGTAATCAACATTACATGTATACCCGTCACGAAACACAAGCTGCCACTTGTGTTTCGTGACGGGTATACATGCTCCTAGTTCATTTTTGTTGCTCTGTAATGGACTTTTTCAAGTGCTTCAATGTCCTTAACATAATAAGGAATCCATATGCTTCAGGCATACTCTAGCCTGGGTGCAATGTAAATCTTGTACAGCTTCACAAACATTTGGGGATCTTTAAATGCCTTGGGAATAAGGTACATAATGGAGTTTGACTTTTTTATGATGCCATTGATATGGTTTTCTCACTTCATATCTTAAATCACAACAATTTTGAAATTATTTTGTTCAGCTACACAGATTTCGTGGGTAGACCCAATGAAGTATTGCATCCTGGGGTTGTTTTTGCCCCAGGTGGAGTCATTCAGTCGCATTTGTCAGGTGGTTGTCCACTGTTTGATGGCATCTACATTCCCCTAAAGGCTTCCATTCTGCGTTACAGGATTGCTATAACAACAGGTATCATCCGCAAATGACAACATCTCTCAATCTATTTGGCAAATCACTAATATATACAAGGAAAAGGACTGAGCTTAGGGGAACATCACTAAAATCTTCACAGAAATTTGACTTCATGGACTCAATCCTGACACAGAACTGTCGTTCCTGCAAAAAATCTTGGATTAGATTCAGTAGAAGTCCGCTTATACGATAGTGAGTTTATGAAAAAGCCGCTCAAATAATACCAAGTCAAAAGCATTTCCAAAATCCAGGTAAAATACATCAGCAGACTGGCCAGAGTCATCTGCCCTTGCCGAGTCGTGAGCCTTGGGCAAGCAGGTTCGTGAAAGTGGACCTTCCAGAAAGAACCCGTGTTGGGATGGTGGGATGATTCCATTTCCGATCAAAAATCCAGTCATCTCAGGTACCAGGACTTTCTCCATGAATTTGAAAGAGTGCATGTTAAGCTAATGGACCTATAGTTTTCAGGCAGGTGTTTGTTGCCTCTTTTGTAAATACGCACTACAATTTCATTCTTCCATTCCCTTGGTAGTTTGCCCTGCCTGAGAAGATTGTTCATCATGGCTGAGAGGGGATGTGACAGAACTGCAGTACACTTATTCAGGAAAATGGCAGGGATTTCATCCTTTCCTGGACTAGAATCTGGCTTCAGTGATGTGAGTGCAGTCTCCAATTTTTCAGGTGTAAAAGTTACAATTTCAAGCGATATGTCTTCAAGAATCGAAAAATGAAAAAAATTCTATGGGACTCTATTATGACATCGTATGTTAAGAATGGAACATCAGTTAACTTTTGGATGTTTTTATCTCCTCAAAAAAAAAAAAATCTATTTTGAAGTCGTTGTATAAGAATATAACATCAGTTAACTTCTCCACCTGATGGTTTTTCAAGTCTTCAGAAATCGCAAAAATGGAAAATGCAGTTTGTCACAAGAAATTTCCTAACTGAAAAAATATAAAAAATACGGATCTTTTACAGTTTTCCGTGTATAGTAAAAAGGTTAGCTTGAAAAAAAATATATATTTTTTCACGGTTTATTTTGGCTGTTGTATCAACATTATAATATTTTATTATTAAATAAGGCTTTACCTGGAATAATATGAGCGAATCGATTTTTTGTTGGATCAAATGGAAGTTCTTCATCATCATAAAAAGCCACTGTCTTCATAGCTTCGTCTTCCCATTCACAATCTCGAATATAATTGAGCTGATGATCAATATTCTTGATTTTTTTCGCTGAGTTTTCAAAATCCTCATCTATTGGAATGCTAGTATTTAACCCTAATAAAAAAAGAATGCTTTTCAACGTGTCATTTTACTGAAAAATCGAGAATAACTCGTAGATATTAAACATCTTTTAGCTCCCTCCTTTCTTTGACAACTAACTTTTTTCAATTTAGGAGTTATTGAACAAAATATTGTACTAAAAACTAGTTACTTACCCATCAGACAGTTAAGTATAACCAAATGGGCAAGCTTATACTGTTCAATATTGTCCACCATGTTAGGACGCTGATTCCTAAGATGTTCCAACATGCTAAATATATCCACTGATCCTTCTGAAGCGGCCATTCGCAGACAAATGTCACACAAGATAATGGTACCAGTTCTACCAACACCAGCACTGAAAAAAAAAACTAAATGTGATTTCTTTGGTATTTTAATGTAAATGTTTTAAACTATTTTACCTGCAATGAACTACTAAAGGAAAGTCCCAAGAACGTAATATTAATAGTCTTTGCAGAAAAGGTATTAGGGTCTGAGGATATAGAGGAACTCCATGATCGGGCCATACTTTAAAATGCAATTGTGCAACCTTAAAATAAAATTACTATGTAATTCCCTTTTTTGAATTATTAATGCGGAAACTATTATAATAATAATGTATTACCTGTCTAGGCGTAGAATACTTAAACTGGACCTTAAACTTTCTGTATTCATAGTGTGCGTGGATTTCTGAGTGTATGAAGGTAATTTTGTAATCACCAAATGTTACCTCTTCATTGACGTTTGGCCAGTATTGTTCAGTCTTTTTCTAATAATAAATTTTACATTACGAATATCATAAATTTTTTAAACTTTCAGTAACTATATATCTTCTTAACAGGACATTTGTATTATTTTTTTAACTACCTTATTGCCTTCAATAACGTTAGCCATCATAACGATATGCGTAGCTTTTTCTTCCCAGATCATTTGCCAAAAATCTTTTACAGTGTTTGGTTTTGGACCCTGAGTCGCGATATACGCCTTTGGACGTTGATAACCCTAAACATCCAAAATTTGTGTACAATAGCCTAATCAAGAAAGGATTCAAAATGCATTTAACTATATATAAAATTCTTACATCAATATAATTTGCATTAATATAATCCGAATATTCATCTCTGTCGAATTTATTCAGCACAACTCTTGAATGGTCGTCTAAAAAGAAAAACCTACATTTTAAATAATCAGGAGTTACCGTTTAACTCACAGGCAATAAGATTTTGATAGCGATTTTTCGTTTTATTTTCTGGAAGTTTTCCATAATCCCATGGTTTTGTTTGCCCTTTGGGAAACGCCTAGGAATTTTAAAAAATAATGCTTTGCTAAATAACTAATTCAAAAGTTTTATTACTGCGTGTTGTGTCGCAAGTTCACCAGACTCGATAGCCTGTTTCACATATTGTCTCAAGTCCTCCAACTTGATACGTTTAGAATGTATTGTCTTAAATTGTGGGACGCCCTGCAAATTTTATGAACTCATTTTATAAAAAAACATATTTTTAACTTACTGGACAAATCTCTTCCGTAAATAAAACGGATAATGGTCTTATACATCTAGATGCTCGTCTTCCAGATTTATAGCCGCTCATTTTTAATTCTTGACGGTTTACGTCTGAAATAATACGATTGTATGATAAAAAATTTTAAAAAATTATGAACCATAAATTTAATTCGTCAAAAATAAATCCCGCAAAGGAAATGGAATTATTTTTTAGCCTATACAGGAAGTTATGGCTTGCTTGAAATAGATAAGGGATTTTCACGTTTTTAAAAATTTTATTAAAAAAAAATCTTTCTGGGCATTCAAACGTGAGCATGTGCTTTCAATGTGTCCATCTATTCAGTACAAAAGAATGGATAAAAGGATGGACGTTTTATATAGTCATCTCTGCTTTTATTCCGCCTTCAAATTCGGAAGTAAAAGTAGTGAGACATTGAGAAAACTATCATCATATATCAAGCTTTGTAGAGAAGGGTTAATGATATCAGCCCCAATGAATCCACAATCGTGACATTTACCCGAAGGCGCAAAATACAATACCTGGGTTCACTTGGGAAAAACATTTAGAGCGAGATCAAGCACCTGGGAGTAACACCCGACTCAAAACTTATCTTGACATACGCCTCCCTGGTGTAGTGGCCATTGGCCAAAGAGACAACAGGGAAGTGCCATGCGCCAACTTAGTAAAGTGCAAAGACTGGCCTGCTCAGGAATAACAAGAGCAATGCGGTCCACACCAACAGCAGCTATGGAGACTCTCGTAGACGTCCCATCTATGCACATTGTGATACAGGGGAAGGCAAAGATGGGAGTGTAGCAGCCTGTGGTACGCTTACCTAATATCAACTGCTGGGCCCTGCGCCGAGGGCTGCTATCCGGACTCTCGAGCGGAGTTGCCAGCTCAAGTAGGTACTCCATGCCACATCCTCCGTTTTCACCAAGTGAGTGTCTTTTTAACTTAGCACTCAAGTTGAATTCAACGCGACTAGCCTTAAACCATTATTTGTCCTATTTACACTGGGTGTATTAATGTTATGGATTAAACTACACACTAATACACTATTCATTCGCACTTTTGTTTTAAATAATCTTCGCCACATATTCCATTGCAGGTGCAACGACGTGCCGTGCCGGCTTGACTAGTCTTCCTGATCTGGTGGTGTATCTCTGGTGAGTGGAGTTATAGACTTCGGTCTTCTCCTCGGAGCCTAGCTCAGCTATTATGGAGTTGTTGGAGTCGTTGCCACTTTCCGATCTATTGCCTTCAATTTCTGGTCTACTGCTTTGTGATACGGCTGAACCTTATTCTGTATTCGTATCATCCCTCCATCGTTACCCTCTGATTCTGAGCTTGACTCATCATTGCAACTTTCGGGGAGTTCCCAATTGGACATTTCTAGTCGAGTATCTGTCCCTTTCTCTAGTCTTATCATCGCTTCTGAGGTTATTTCTATAACTTGGCTTCTGTTTCGCCGAATAACGTTATTTTCTGCGGCGAAAATCTATGTTCTAGGTTCAGGTCCAACATCCATTATTTTCCCAAACATTTTCATATCGGGTATCCAAACTTTATCGTTATTTTTCAAGGTAGAATTTGATCTTACTCTATGTCGCTTAATAGAATTGAATGTTTGATTTTCTTTTTCGTTGCTTCTGACTTCCTTGAAGTTGTTTATGTAGTTGCACTTAGAGATAAATCTGTCTTTGTTGGCTGGAATTAAATTCCTAAGTTTTCTTCCCATGATCAGTTCTGCTGGTGAAAATCCACTCTCTAGCTTTGCTGTTCTATAACTTAACAGTCCTAAGTTTGGGTCTTTGCATTTTAGAATTATATTCTTGGCTATTTTTACGGCGGAGTCCGCCTGCCCATTTGATTGAGGATACCTAGGGCTGCTTGTGATGTGACTGAATCCATATTTCTGAGCAAATTGTTTGAATATGGGGCTAGAAAAACAAGGCCCATTATCTGATCTGGTGGTCTCTGGTATTCCCCATCTTGACAACATGGGTTTCAGTTTCGTTATGACATCTACAGAAGTTTCTGAATTTAAGTTGGCAGCCTCTATAACTCTTGAGAAATAATCGACTTCCACCAGATAATGTTTGTTGTTGACCATGAATAAATCGACTCCAATGATCTGCCAGGGGTAATCTGGCACAGATAAAGGAATCATTGTTTCAATTGTAGCATGCCTGTATTGAATGCATGTTAAGCAATTGGTAACAATTTCTTTTATTTGTTTTGAGATTTTGGGCCATCTCACTGTTTCATTGGCTAGGCTAAGGTAATATCGCCAGGATGAATACTCTGTTGTTGCGGATTACTAAGCTATCCAATATTACCATCTCCTCTTGATATTGGTAGAAAATTTTATCTTCGGTTGGTAAATCCTTAATGTGTGGACAACCATTTTGTATAAGGGTTATTATTCTTTTGGTTCGGACATCATTCTTCTGACATTCCACTACATTTTATGCGCATGTCCTTGATAGACATTGATTCACGAATATGATTTGCAAAAGGTGAGTACAGTCACGCCAATGCCTAAAGTAGTAAATACTCAAGATGCCTGTAATTTCAGACCTATAAATACTCTTCCTACTTTTGAGAAAGTACTTGAACTAACAATACACAATCAGTTAGTTGATTATTTTGATGAAAATAATCTAGTTTTGGGCTATCAATCAGGTTTCCGAAAACAACATTCATGTGAAGTAGCACTACAGTTAATAACAATAGAATGGAAAAAATGCATTGATAATAATGAATATGTAGTTGCTGTGTTTTTTGATTTCAATCGAGCATTTGAAACGATAAATAGGCAAACCCTCTTGAAAAAACTAGAGAGTATTATGGAGTGACTGGACTAGCATTGGGCTGGCTAAACAGCTATTTGAGTAACAGATACCAAAGAACAAGAGTAAATGATTGTTTGTCAGACTTGATTGCAAATGATATGGGGGTGCCTCAGGGTAGTGTCCTGGGACCCCTGTTATTTATAATTTATTTAAATGAGATAAATCTGGTTGAAGTATCGCATCAAATTAACCTTTTTGCAGACGATACTCGTTTGTACCTATAATGTTAACAAAGATTTAAAGAAGGCTCATAAATAACTCTCTGAAAAGTATAGAGTCTTATTTAGCTATCAGTAAATTAAAACTAAATGTATCAAAAACCAAGGCAATGGTATTGACAACGCAGAATAGGCACAAGAATATGGATATCAAATCTTTCAGGATTGAGGTTGATTCTGAAAAGATCGATATTGAAACTGAAATTAAATATTTGAGATACATCATTAATAATAAACTGAATTCAAAAAGACATGCTGAGTACATAAAATTTCAAAAAAGCTGTATTCTTTCAATAGAATTTCCAATTCTCTTTCTATGTCTGCAAGAGTTACGTCTCACAATTGCATAATAAGGTCTCATTTTGATTATTGTGCCTCTTTAACGTACCTATTTAATCAAAATCAAATATCCCAACTGCAAAAGCTGCAAAATTAAGGAATGAGAACTATTCTAAAGTGCTGTCGATGTACATACATCTATTGAAATTATGCTACAAGCACTTCAATGGCAAACAGTCTATAAGAGACTTTATTAGTCGAGCATGGTTTTTATTTTCAAAATTGTTAGGGAGCAGAGTCCAAAATATTTTTCTTAACTTTTAATATGTAATAATCAAGTTCACAACTAAGTTGACAACCATAATACAAGGACACAGAACAACTTCTGTATTGCTAGAGCTAACCTGAAAAGTAGTATGAACTCTTTTTGTTTTTTAAAAGGTTGGATGCTTACAATAAGCTATCAGACCATATAAAAGGATCAACCAATGTAAAACAATTTAAAAGGGAGCTATTAAATTTTACGTGAACTGTGTACTAGAGTTATCATGCCCTGCTGGCGTAACGTTGAGTAACTTGATTATCTGAATTGAAGTCTGTTTGTAAGTACCTTTATTACTTATGTGAAGATTGATTACTGTTTTCAAATGGATTGTGATATGGGTATACTTATATAGGAACTAGTTTTGAATGGAATATTTTTGTATTTATTTATTTAATGTGAAAATTTCATGCAATGTATAGATATAATATTTTGTTGTATATTAGGCATGTCCTAAAATAACGATATATTATTATTATTATTTTCCACTTTTTCTATGAGAGTTCGTTGTCGAATAAGATATCTGCTCCATGATCACTGGATTTTAGCGGAGCTCTGGATTATACATCAGGCATTATCATGTTTCTGCCAGGAATATACTGTACATCATACGAAAATTGCATCAATCTCATTCGGAATCTTTGGATTCTAGCTGATAGATCAGCTAATTGTTTGCTTCCTAGAAGTTCCACTAAGGGTTTGTGGTCAGTCAGGAGCATAAATGTTTGACCAAGAAGGTATTGGGCGAATTTTTCGCAGGCCTAAGTCAAAGAAACTGTTCCTCGCTCTATCTGCGCACATCATTTCTCTGTGTCGGACATTTTCCTGGATCCATAGCCGATAGGTTTCCAGATATCTTTATCCATTTGTTCCAGGACTGCTCCCAATTCATATGATCTGGCATTCGCTATGGCTCTTGTTGGGCGTCCTAGAGCAAAATGTGCTAAAATTGGAGCTGTCGTAAGAACTTTTTTTATGCTTTCAAATGCTCGTTGCGGCTTTGCCCACATAAATTCGTTGACTACTCCCTTTAGTCCTTCCAAAATCTCTAAAATTTGTCTTTGAATCCTTTCTGTTGCCGAAGTGATTCTCATCGGCAAGCGTTTAAATGCATAGCGACCAAATGGCGTTATAAATGTTGTTATCAGTTGCGATTTCCCATTCACAATTTTGAGCAGTAGAGGTCAGATTTGTAATAAAAGAGTCACAAGGCTCGTCTGGATTCTGTGACCTTTGCAAAAATTTCATCCTCTCGTATACAAGATTTTTCTCTTGAATAAGATAACTGTCAAATTTTGATATTTAGGTGTTGAAATCTGCTTGTTGTGTTTGTGTTAAATGAAATGATTTTAAGATTTTCTCAGCTTTTGTGCCTCACAAACTGATCCGATAGTCAACTTGCTGTTCTCATGAGTGATTACTAAGGGCCTTTTGTATCTAATGAATACATTTTTTTCTCAAGTCTTCCCAGTCCAAGAAAAGTGAGATGGAGGGGGAATTGTAGCCTGATGCGTAATCACCGGTGCCGAAGTTTTAGTAATTGCTGCTGCTGCAATCTTAATAACTGATTTATTGTTGCTGATTAAATTCGTCCGCACTCAATCTAATAGCATTTTCCTGTTCACTAGCCATGATTGAAAAATGTGAAGAGAAGACAAAATCAACAAAACAATCCAAAAAGTCTACTTCCTTTAAAAAAAAAAAAAAAACTTCTTACAGTCTACCGATGTTGTAGTGGATCTGGCAACATCAAAGCTACCGTCTCGCTGCATTCACCCGAAACACTAACACCTGGCTGGGTTCTGCGTTTTGCAGACCGCCAAGGTCTCCACCGTTTCCACACCAAAAACTTTATCCAGTGGGAGCGCTTCACTAAAGAGGCTAGAGTCGATAGTTTACTAATCGAATGAAAATGTACTATTTTTGCCGGTACTTTTCGCCCGAAACATGAAAAAAATAACCGCTTTCACCATGTAGCAGCCTGTGGCACGTTTACCTGATATCAACTGATGGGCCCTGCGCCGAGGGCTGCTATCCAGACTCTCGAGCGGCGTTGCCGGCTCAAGTACTCTATGTCACAGGGAGAGTACAGTCTGCAGCCGACAGAACACATGGCAATCGCAAAACTTTTTGGGGGAGATATTTTCACCACATGCCAAGGCGACACTGCCTTAATAGACCGTTCGACATCAGCAGCAGAACTCAATGGGAACAGGGGAGACCAAAAAGCAGGTACACGGACAGGTCGAAGACTGCGGCTGGTACCGGAGCAGAGGTATACTCCGCCAGCTACAGCAATTACTATGCACTGGGGAAGCATGCCTCTGTTTTTGAGGCAGAGGTCTATGCTCCAGAGCGTAGCAGAGAATAACAGGAAAGCTGTAGCCAACAGGCAGATCCTTAAAATGTCTGACAGTCAAGCTGCACTGAAGGTCCTTTCGAGGCAGACAGTGTCATCGAGACTAGTATGGGAATGCCAGGAAAAGCTTAGGGTCCTGGCGAACCAAAATAGGGTAGAACTGATCTGGGGCCCGATTCTCTTCTCAGGGAGTAGAGCTCCCCGATAGCACTAATGTTTTGTCCTTGGTAATCGAAAAGTGAACGAGAATGATAAAGACAAAACAAATGTTCTCTCGGAGAGCTCTACTCCCTGAGATGAAAATCGGGTGCCAGGATACAGAGGAATCGAAGGTAACGGAAAAGCTGACGAACTCGCAAATAGAGGATCAGAGACAAAACTTATCGGGCCATAGCCGGCTTAAGGGATACCAAAAAGTATCCAAAAAGTATGACCAGTAGCTACATCAAAGACTGGTTTCGTGAAGAACATCGACACTACTGGACAACTTCCAGGCAGAATCATGGTAGGGAGTTCATCGAAAAACCATGCAGAAAAAGGGCTGCAGAACTGCTAAAAATCAGTAGGAGCCGACTAAGGACTATAACGGGACTCATGACAAGCCACACATCGGTAAAGGTCCACCTGATCTGGATGAACCTGTATGACGGAGACTCTGCAGTAAGGAACCTAAGATAGCTAGAAACATCCTAATAATCTGCGAGGCACTGGATAGCAGTAGACATAGCATTTTCGGGAAACCAAACGTAGTCCCAGAAACAATAATGAAACACAATCCACTGAAAGACCTGTACAACCTTGTACAGGGCACCAAAATACTAGAGTGATTGGAATAGAGCAAACAGGCTAAGCACAATAAGGCTTCTCAGGCTACATGAGGAATAAGTCGGACAGGCCTGATGAAAAGTGTATACCATATCCATATACTTACATCTAACCTCATCAGCTGTCGGATTTAGAGAAATGGATGATTCTGTTATGCGGCGATCTTGTTCCTTGGCTGCAAATATACTTCTCACTTTGTTTATTAGTGGTGTCTTGTATCTACAATATATCATCGATGAAAAAAACTTACAAAATGTTCACGTTTTATTTTAATCATTTTTCCAATAGATATACACTCAGTGGAATGATGAATTTAATTACAAAATATCTTAAATGTAAAAATACCATTTACCTTACTCCTATCACGGCTAACATTACTATCAAAAACAACGTTAGAACCACAATAGACGCTATGCCAATAGAACCCAAATTCCCATCGGGATGCCTTATAGACTGACCTTTCAAAAAAATCGCATATTGGGTAAATTATTTTGTTATTAGAATAAATTTGATATTCTACCTACCTTTACTTTTTATTAAAGTGTACTTGCTTCTAATAAATCCTTGTTCCTTGTTTATCCAAATAAAGGCTACAAGATATGTAGCACTCTTTTTAATAGCATAATTCATAGTCGTGTTGCTAATATTTATGGAAAGAAATTTTTCTGTTGGTTGCTGTAAATTTTAGATTAACATTAAAAAAAATAGTATATTGTTTTATTAGGAGTAAAAGTGATACTTTTATACCGACAATTTTAGACGAGCCACAAAAAGTGCTTTTCTCCGAATAAAACATGCGATTTTTTTCCGCAAACGGTGTTCAAAGCGATAAAATCTTGGAAATATCTGTGACGTCACTTTTTTGTCCGGCCGTGAGCGTACAAAAAAGAACTTTTTTGTACGCTCACGGAACGCGCGGACAAAAAAGTATTTTTTCTCCAAACGTCAAAAAAACGTCACTTTGTTAACGCCTGTCAAGGTGTCAGAAGCTTAATTTCTATGCTGCTAGGCAAATCCAGCAGGTTAGCACCTGTCGAGGTGGTAGAGATTTAATTTCTATGCTGCTAGGCAACCGCATCGGCAGTAGAAGTACTTTTAGTGCCGCTGGAGCGGCAGCAAAAGTACTTTTAGTGCCGCTCGTACTTTTACTGTCGCTTAAACATCCAGTTACCCCCGAGCTTACTCCATTCGCTTGGAGAAAAAATAGCGTGTTGCATACGGAGTAGACGCACTTTTTTGTGCTTCAGCAGTATTGCAAGCCTCACTACGTTCGGCTCGCAAACCTACTGCTTCAGCACAAAAAAGTAAAGCTACTACTCCTAATACAACAATATACTATTTTTGTACGCTCACGGAACGCGCGGACAAAAAAGTAACCAAAAAAATGACGTCTGTGAAGTCAAACTTCAACATAAGGAATTGAGGTTAAAAAAGTCGTCATTTTTTGACGTTTGCGGAAATAGTGCGGAACGGCTTCGCGTCGTTCGGTCAACTGCCGTTGCGTGCGGTAAAGTATCACTTTCCGCATTTGTTAGGTACAAAATTTTACCTATGAGCATCTACATCTCCAAAAAAGGGCATTGTAAAATTAATTATTGAATCAGATTAATTAATGAAATTAGATTCGATTTAGAAATTATCAAAAATCCATTTTCTGGAAGAAAAAAAAGGATTTTTGATTATAAATATCAAATTCTACCTTACTATGCGGTAAAGTGCACTTTACCGCACACTTTGTAGTCCACTTTACCGCACACTTTGTAGTCCACTTTACCGCACACTATGCTGTAACGTTAACTTTACCGCATAGTGTGCGGTAAAGTGCTACTTTCCATTTGCAAATACTTGCGCTAAAGTGCACTTTACCGCACGCTCGTAGGTAAAAGTACTTTATACTATTGTGAATTATTTCCCTCTAAGCAAAACATGAAAACTATTGAATACGAATCAGCTCTGAAACAATCAATCTTTTATCACATCTTTATGCACCTTGAATGTCACAATAAATTCATACATTCTTCAGCATAATCAACACACTGCGGTTAAGTCAACATTGATGGCGTATGAAGAGCACAAGTAATATTTTTAAATTGAAATTTTACTTAAAAAAAACCTACTTGGTATTTATAGTTGATAACTCTTTTCCAGAAAGAAATGGTTGTTTTTGTCTCTACTTCATCGTAAGAAATATGATGATCCATTAAGACTTTCTTAAATTCAATAACTAAATCATCATCGCATGTATCACATTCCTGAAAAACAGTATGGTTTTATTTTGATAAATCAAAACTATAACTAGTATATTTTCAATAAGTATGAAAATAAGCTAGTAGGTAGGTAGAAGGCAGAAAGAATTTTTCTTGTTTGATTGGTGAGTTGAATCATGCCATGTATGATATTTTAGCTCTTCAATGAGAATTATCCCCCATTTATTATTTACAGAAGAAAAACTATACAAAAGCAAACACTTTTGTGTTTTGTTCTATGGAACCAAGTATGTGTAGTAACTACAGAAATTTTAATCAAGAATAACAAGGACTTATCAAACAACCATACATCATCACTTAGATATCACAACCAGAAACTTCAGTTAAAAATTATCTGAACATCGATATCCAGAAATTGTTGAAAGCCGATATTGACTAATACATTGGAATGAGACTAAAGCAAAAGTTCATAGACCTTTTTTTTTAAGTGCTTTCAACAATTAACATTCCAAAGAAGCCGAAGAATTTCTGAAAGGATCAATAAATCATGCACGAGCCTATATGATGATACCCACTCAACAAACCACTTAGCGACGCCCTTGATAATTAACTAAAAGGGGACCAAATACACTAATTGATCGGATGATTCAACCACGAAAAAACGAGGTCAGAACCAATAAAGAAATTCAAGACAATGGAGGGACCAGTGATATAAGGCAACTTTGGCAGGAGAAAACCAGTGTTCGAGAAAACCAGTGTTCGAGAAAGAACGAGTAAACCGGCAAAACTACAGCGTCAAAGACCAGTGTCGGTTGAGTAATCAAGAAACAAGTAGTAATCGAGAATCGAGAGACCTGTGTCCAGAAAGACAGAACTACGGCGTGAAAGATTTTTCGAATTAACCGAGAGAAGAAGCACGACGTGAAATAACAGCGCGAAAATATTCGAGTTTTTTTTTATTAAGTGTTCATAATTGAAGTAAATTCTTTCGACCAATAAGATTTCCATGTAATTAGGTGTGGCCAGCAGTAAATATATTATTGTTAAATGAAAGTAGAGTTTTTTTATGTTCAGCCAGAATTTGTGAAGGTAAGAGTGTGAATCGAGTCAAACTGTAAATAAAAAATTTTACTTGGAATTATATAAATTTCCGTAACAGTTAATTGATGCTTATTAGTAATCTAACAAATTTATTGTAAAATTATTTTTACCGACGCCTGTTAATTAATAACAAGCATTAATTATTTTAATAAAATAAACTTTATTTTAATTGACCACAATATTTCTGTGTCTTACTCTCTACCCGCAAATTGAACCCAGTTTAAACTGTGTCTCCACTCAGAAACTAAAGTCACCGCTAGCCAATCCAACATCTTGCCAAGTTTCTGAATTTGGGGTACCACATATGCTTACACTTACACAGTAAAAAACAAAATAATAACCCACCGTTATTAATCCATAAAAAAACCGCTGGTAATACATTGGAGTATCAGGTTCATTAAATATTACCCTTAAAGAATTTTCAGTTCTGTCAGTAGAAATGATTGAATTTGATGGTATTGGAGGGGGGCTCTTCTTTGTGAATATAACATCTGGCTCAGATGTTCCCGCCAAATTACGGGCTGTAATTCTTACAGCATATTGCTTTGGCAATTTGAAATTTTCCTGAATCTGAAAAAAAAAAATTGTCGTACAATAAATGACTTACCATTTATTTGCATATGTATAGGCCTCTTAATCTAATCTAACTTACTGTTTTATTATATTTCAGTTTATATTCTTCTTGAGGATCTAAATTATACTCGTGAGGAATTCCATCTACGAAAACATCAAAGCCTGTCAGCTTTCCATTCGTTTCATTCGGAAGAAACCATTCCAGATATAAGAAATTTTCGTAGGTCCAACTATACGATAACCCGTAAGGTTTACCTGGAGCTGAAATAATATATTTGATCTTTTGAATATATATATTTTTTTTAAATCCTGAAAGTATTACGTTAATTTTGCGTATCAAATGCATGAGCATGACTGAAGAAAGTGAATATCAACACCTGATAAAGAATTAAACCGTTTGGATTATACCGCAAACACAATTTTATTCCAAGTTATTACTTCAGGGTGTTAAAATTGTATCCCATTTCATTTATGGAACTAAATTACTTACTAGATTCTTCTGCTTGTTTGCAAATGTTTTTTTTCACGGAAAATTCACCATTTCCTTGGTTTTTTGAGGATACCTAAAACACAGGCAACATTCTTATTCTTTTTAACGTGTAATTAAATTAAAAATTATATCAGAGAGATACGGATGCCTCCAATAACACTCAGCAGTGATAACGCCTCCGTTATTTTCGTAACTACCATAGGAATTATAGTTTTTCAGCCTGATAAAAAAAATATGTTATTTAGGCTACCAGTATCTATGGTATACGAAATAAAAGTTGCCTATGCTAATTACCTCAAATTGATAAACATAATGTTCATTATCCACAGCAATTCTCGTGCAATGTAATTCTGGCCACAATTCACAAGCCTCTGGCACAAATGTTACACTTTTGTCATATTTAAAGTCATACCATGTTTTTGGTTTATAAGAAATGGCGATATTATATTTTTCCAGCTTTCCAGTTGGAGGATAAGGCGGAAGCCAGCGCAACGAAAAAAAATCGGTGCCTTTTGAAGTAACTAAGAGATCATTTACAGGATTTGGAACTAGAAAATATTATACCCGTTGAATAAATTTATTTATAATTACATAAACAACGTACCCCCTTCTTCAGTTTTAAATCTAATTATTTCTTCCTTTTGAACGATACCAACTCGAAAATATTGCAAAGTAACTTCATAGTTACAATATGCAATTAAATCAGATATTATAAACCTTTTTTGGAGGTCTAAACTACTACTAAATCGTGTAACATTACACCAAGAATCCATTCCTCTCACTTTGAATACAACTTTTAATGTTCCCGTAAGCTTTTTACAGTCCATTAAATTGAATTCGATCTTAACTTGGGTTACGTCAAGAGAAATTTTCATCAATTTAGGAAACTCCTCTTCATCAGGTTTGTCTAAAATCACAAACTAGAGAAAAACTTTTTTTAGTGTTTTTTATTTATTTCAACCTTTCGCTAGTGTCTCAAATACCAAATTTGCTGATTCGCTGGAACCAGCAACTGTATGTGCTTTAATGCTGAACGAATACCTTGCATAGGGCTTGAGGTCTGGTATTTGAAATTGCCTCTGTATGCCGCTTAAGTTTCTTGTCGTTTCCAGTAGAATGTTTGGATCTTCGCATACTTTGAATCGAATCTTGAAAGCGAAATCATCAAATTTGACAGTGGGATAAAAATATTATCAAAAATATCTGAGAAAAAGATGTTCATCAATATCAATAGCAACTTCTTTCTTTCCCATTTTTTATTTATAAAATATAACTTACTATTTCTGACATAGAGTAGTAAATTAAATTTCCATTTACTTGCGATGGTTCTTTCCATTTCAAAGTAATGGATCCATGTAAATCTTCTTCATAAATAAATTCCTCAGGCTTTCCAGGAGCTAATGGAATATTAATTGATATTTGTTTAACACAATCTTTATAAGGTACTATTGAATATACATATGTTCAGATAACATATAACATAAATCCAAACGGTTTAATCATACGGTTTAACAAAACAGCAATAAATAATTCAGGAAACATATTCGAATACGCTATTTTCTCCGTCTTATGCCGGAGTCTCATGCATCCGTTTTCCGACGAAAGATGTCCGAAAAACTTTCTATTCTGACATAATCGTATGAAAATATGTCAAAATAGAACATTTTTCGGACATCTTTCGTCGGAAAACGGATGCATGAGACTCCGGCCTTATTGTTTGAATAAATTGTTGTTGAGAATCAACTTTGGATAAGATAAAACCTATCGATTGAAGATTTCACGGCCAAATATGTGCTGAGAATGTTTCCTCCAGGCTATCAAGTTGTAGTTTATTCATATATCTGAGGTATACAGCTTTCAAAATTTTCCTGAAGATAATTCATCTACAAGAAAATCATTTTTGATCTGAAGTCAATAGAGTAAAGAGGATTCAAGAATTATTTCTCTAGTTTTTGTTCTCTATACCTAGTTCGAAGCAACAAAAGTGATATCCATCCTCTACCACTGCAACCTTGTCAGATTTATTGTGGTGTCTCCTATCTGTCGTTAGAGTAGGTTCTCTAGGCCCGTCTTTTTTATTAGACTCCAGAGCCATGATACTGGCCACTCCATATAGCAGCCTGCATAGCGCTTCGCAGTGATATCACACATGTACGACAGTTTTTTCCGCCTCCTGGCAAAACCTGCACAGGCTATCCTCTGTCAGACTTATTTTTTCCAGGTGCTTGTTAAGTTTGCAATGCCCTGTTAATTGGCCTACTGTTATCCTAACAATCTTGCGGCTGTGGCTTAGTAGGTCCGCAGTGAACTTGGGCGAGCAGGATTTGATGAACTGTTTTACTTGTCGCTGTCCTGGTGTTTGCTGCCGCTAGCTCTGGAACTCTCTAGCTATCCAGTTCTTGGAAGATATTTTAAAAAGGCCTGCAGAGATTTCGCATTTCAGGGGCTGAGCCTCCTTTGGCTAAGTCATCGGCCTTTTTTCTTTCCTGTGTGGCCCTCATGGCCTGGTACCCAGGCTATGGTAAGTTTATTGGATAGGCCCACCTCCTCTAGGGCACGTATACAGTCCCTAACCAGCTTTGGAGCTGATCTTTTGAAAGCTGATTGCATTTAGGGCCGTTCGGCTGTCCGAGTAAATAACGATGTTTTTACTCTTAACTTTCCTTTCATTTATTAGTATGGCATAGTCCATTATTGCAGATATTTCCGTCTGAAGCACCGTGACCTGCTGTCTGAGACTTGTGGATATCTCCACGGTTAGTGTGTCTCCGTAGATATCAGGGAGGACCTTCCTTTTAGTCTCTCCTCTCCGGTATGGCAACCCGGAAGTATATGAGGGCATCTCGAAAAAAGAAAGTCTAGATCCTCCTCCTCTTCCAGCCCATGTGTGCGAAATTGAAACTGGAAAATCCACACGTTGCTGATAGAATGATAATCGATGAAAGATTTTAAATTGAAATTGAAAGATATCGAAACTGAAAAGGATATTTTTTTACCTTACCTGGTTTTACTTCCAAACTCCATTCAGCTGGCCAACTCTTTCAGGAAGTACAAGACGAATGCGAAGAAGTACAAACGAAACCGTCTTGAATGAAACCGGTCACGGCAAGTGAAAAGAAACGGTCTATTTTCTCGAACCACACGAAACGGACTTAGTGTTTTTGGCGACTGATTTACTGGTCGACAATGTAAGGACTTGCAGATATCTTTTTTCAGTGTTTAACGCGCGCATTCTTAAAAGCCAAATTTAACAAAGTCGTATTAATTCTTGGGCATAGAAACGCGCAATTATTCAATTAGAATAAGAGAAACAAAAAATAAAGAAGAAAAGAAAAACGAATCAATTTCCATTCCCAAATACGATTTGACATCCTAAATACCCAATTTAACCTACAACTATAGTTCATACCAAATAAACTTGTTGTTGTGACATCGATGACGCCATTTTTAAAATCGTTATCGCCAACCGTGAAAATATTCGGCGTCGGATTGACTTAATTGGAATTTGAATTTCCCGCTGTCCATTCAGTTGGTAACACCACTTCAAAAAATGTAACGTTGCCAAATTAAATTCTTGACAATTTGAATTTTGATTGCGTTTTGGCAGCTTACGAGATTTTGGTTTGTGCTATTATTTGTGAGCTTGTTTTTTAAAAGCAGCTTGTAGTGCGAAGTGTACCTACAAGATGCCGAAGCAGCTTAACAGCCGTTGCAAAGAACTAATCGCATCCTTGTTACAATATTTTGAACGAGAACGCGATGCGATAATTATGGCCCTTCATGTCCCTTAAATGCTGTTAAGAAGAAGGTGAGTTTATTTCGTGGACCAAGGACCAACTAGGAATTTTCAATTTGAACTTTATTTTCTCTCATTTTTAGCGCGTAGCAAAGGCGTTGAACTTAGGTAGGTATGTCCACTGTCTGTGCTATTTCAAAGGCAGTCAAAAATAACGAAGTTTTGGAATCGCCTTCTGAGAAACGATGTACTTCGAAGAGAGTCTGTGATGTTTCAAAGCTCGATAGTAGTGCTATACGTAACACTAGTTATAGTTATGTATACAAAAAGTAAATCACTTGAGGCAAAGGTACATAGATATCTATGAATCGTATTCTTTCTTCTTGTAGGACAACATGTAACATTATCCTGTATATGGGAGCAATTGAAAGCCAAACAAATATTTGATGGCAGTCCCATGTAATTGAGTAGAATGTTGAAAGAAATAGGCTTCAAATGGAAAAAATATGACCCAAGACGAGGGCTCATGGAACTTCCTGATATTGTTGTTAAACGCATATCATTTTTGAGGTCTTATCTAAGACTGAAACAGGAGGCTTTGTACCAGTTTGTTTTCTTGGACAAGACTTGGATTTTTCAAAATGGTACTTTTAACCGCTCGTGGCAAGACAACAACAAGCGAATAGTTAAAACTACCAAAGTTGATGGTGACAGGTGAATATAAACATGAATACAGAGAGCAGTTGTATTATATGTACAAAGAAATGCTTTTTTTAGATATATTATACTTCATGCTAGCACTGAAAATGGATTCATTGAAGGTGCATCGCTCGTATTCTCATCGAAAACTCAACTTAACGACTATAACGGAGAAATGAATCAGCAAAACTTTTTACGTTGGTTCGAAAATCAGCTGTTGAAGAACTTGAGGAGTGAACCGTGAACCATCTGTCATACCACAGAATGTTATTAAGGAAGACACCTAATAGTTCGTCTACCAAGGCTGAAATTCAAAATTGGTTAACCGAACAGAAAGTTGAGTATCCAAATACAGCATTGAAATCTGAACTTGTGACCATTGTTGCACGGTAAGTAAGTATACCTACAGGCTACAATACCAAAATTGTTTGCATTTTATGCTCAACTTCTCAAGTATTGCTTTTTTCAGGAATAAACCAACAAAAAAGTATGTGGTAGATGACTTAGCAGAACAGTATGGACATAAAGTTTTACGACTACCTCCATACCACTGGGACCTTTAACCCGATTGAACTTATCTGGGGAATAGCAAAAAACTATTATAACCAACATATTGTTGTTTATATTATAACCAACATATTTGTATATTACATTATAACCAACATATTGACTCAAGATGTTTGTTTAAAAATGTGGCGAGAGGCACTGGGAAATGTTACCCCTGAAATGTGGAAAAATTCTATCAGACATACAGAAGGAATAATTGACAAGTGGTATAACAGGGAACAAGTAATGGATAGGCAAGAGGTTCTTCCACTTATTATCAATGTTGATGACTCTAGCGATTCTAGCGATTTCAGTGATCCAGAATAATTGAAACTATTCTTGATGGTTCAAATATTCATATAAAATTGAATTATTTATAGTATTCAGAGTGGCTGTAAATAAAATAGGTACTGAGCGTTATTATTATATTTTATGTGATGATTGACAAATGGGTTGTTATTAAATATCTATCTATTAAACCCAGCTTTGAAACATTGTTTATAATTCAAGTAATAAATTTTTGCATTATATTATAATATAATCCATTATTGTTTCTGAAAATATTTTGACAAAAGGAAAATATGCAAGAGACGGCAACGCTGTGCCGGCCGAGCTTGACAACCCGACTATAAGTTTATTTGGTATGAACTATATATACAAAGTGCGTAGACGAAACTGAACATTCCGCCCACCTAAAATGCAATACATTTTATACATTGGGTAAAGCGCAAAGCTTTACCAGAGGTCTTTGAAGAAAACCGTGAACAGTTCTGATGCTGGCTGCTCGGGCAATTCCATCAGAACCAGGATGCAACTGGATGACCCTACCCATTCTCCATTTCAACGGAGGAAGTTGATCGTTCTTTATTAATACGACCGAGTTTATATCAAGTTCAGGAATTCCATTGTCCCACTTTTGCCGTTCCTGAAGAGTGTTTAGGTAGGACAAATGCCATCTTTTCCAAAAATGTTGCTGCAGTCTTTGGAGAAGTTGCCAGCGGTTTAAGCGATTCAACGCAAGATGCGTGAGGTCTGGATCTGGAAGGCAAGTAAGAGGTTCTAGAGTTAAGAAGTGACCCGGGGTAACTGCCGATAGGTCGTGGGGGTCATTACTTAACGGATATAAAGGTCTGGGTTCAGAATAGATTCTACCTGACAAATTACCGTATATAATTCCTCATATGATAGAACCTGCTCACCAATTATTTTGACGAGAAAGGATTTAGCGGCATTGATTCCCGCCTCGAATAGCCCACCAAAATGGGGGGAGGAAGGAAGATTGAAAGACCATTTCACCTTTTCTGCATGGCAAGACATCTCGAACATTTTATCGAGCTCTTTAGCAGTGGCGACAAAGTTAGTACTTTGATCGCTAAATAGCATGCTGCATCGCCGTCGTCTGGCGACGAACCTGCG